GCTCAGAGCCCCAGGAGTTGCTCCTGCATCCCTCAATATCTAGACTCCCTCCTAGTCATCATTCACACCTTAAGGACCCACTAAGACTGATGCCCAGACTCTGAAAACGTAAAGATGAGTAAAACAGTCCCCCGTCTCACCAAACTCAAAAGCCAGTGGCTAGAAAGACACAGAACAAGCAAACTACCCCTTCTGTCACAGAAGCTTCCACACGGGATCAGACATTAGGGGGAAATGACACTGAACGTGAGCACTGAAGACGCCGGCCAGGAGGAAGGGTAGTGGAAAAAAAGAGAATTGCATACTGGGCAGAAGGAGCAAAGAGCAAACATTAAGGAGCAGGAAAAAACAAGTTTTCTCCGGGTGTTCAATGAGGTGCTCACCTGAGTGAAGACAGAAATTATAAGCTAAGGGAAAATGCCTGTGAAAGACCCTGAGCCATGATCAGGAATCTGGAGAGAATCCAGGAGGCAATGGGGAGAGTTGTCAGCCCTCCAAGCCAGAAGAGGGCATTCTTCGCTCATTCACTCATTCAACAAACGGTTCTCCTGGCTCCTCTAGAGATGGAAGGCTGAACAGAAGACAACCTCTTCCTTCCTTCCGGACGCTGGTACTCACTTGTGAAGACAGGTGATTAGGAAAAAAACAAGAAAAGTAAAGCGGGTGTGAAGAAAAGACAGTACAAGGAGTTTGGACACGTGTGGCACAGGAAGCTGACCTCGTTAAGGGTGAGGGGCCGGCGGGCTCAGCTGGGACCCAGGGGTTGACCCGAAGATTCACCGCTTTGAGCATGAAGGACGGGAAGCTGGGAAGGATCACTGAGATGCTAGAGGAAGAAAGGTGGATTGGAGAAGAAATGAAGGAAGTAGGGCTTAGGAATTCGGGGGTCGAAGTACCAGCAACAACACCCCACCCCCCCCGGTGAGTAGTATCCATAACCAACAGTCACCTGGCCTCTGACAAACAGCTCTGAGCATGGGCATCTCATCACTTCCCCCAGAGGGTGGACTCTGATACCTGGCGAATCTAATTCTTACAGCAAGAGTTCCTTCTTAAATGAAGACCATGCCTGCTTCCCCATCACATTTATGCGTCGATCCTGGATCCACACTCAGGAGCAAATCACAGGAAGCCCATTCCCCCTTCTGGACATATTTCCCATTAACTGGGGAAGATCCTGGTCATTTCCAACTCATTCACATCAGACGCCAAGAACAGAAAAGTTCTAGAATGTTAGGGCCCCAAGAGCCCCCATAGGTGACATTCAGTTTTATGTCATTTCATGCAACAGGACACAAAGGCCTAGAAAGAGCAGTGATCGTACCCCCAATCACCCAGCTACTCTGGCTCAGCTGATCTGGGAGCCTGAGGCCACCCCCCCGCCACAATCTAGTGTGCTCTCAATGTATCTTGCTGCTGTGTGTAATCTAACTCCAAAACTTTGTGCTGAGGGCATCTGTATCTCCGGGAGAGCCAATGAAATTAAACAGGGTTGAAAAATAAACAAATTCACATAAAGTATAAATAGCATTTTCATGAAAACAGGCAGCAGCTCTGTCCCTTATTTATGGCTCCCCCTGCCTTGAAACAGAAAACTCACGGGTGTCGATAAATGGACTGCAAAGTTGTTATGTTTAACTACAGAGAAAAGCATGTCTCCATGGGCTCTTTTGGAAATGCACAGATGTCCACTGGCAACTGGCAGGGGCTGCAAGGAGGTACCCTTTGTCTCCCAGTAAAGACTCTGCCTTTTCTAGAGTCTCCGATCTCTAGCTCAGGGTAGGTCAGGCAGGTCATCCTGTGCCCTCACCCCTGACGCCGAGCTCCACCCCCCCACCGCCACACTGCACTTCTGTTTACACACCTCTCATGTTAGGTTTTTCATTACCTCTCAGGGCAGCTCATTCCAGCCCTGGACAGAGTGATCCTTTACTATGATGAGCATGACAGCTGGCTCCCTGCCACGTCCCTCCATAGATGTGGGGGCCATCTCTCTCTCAGGTGACAGCCCCCTGACTGCTTGCTGAAGCTGATCATGTACATTTGCAGCTTCTGCTTCTCCAAGGTAAATAGCCCCAATTCCTTCCACTATTTCGTAGGTAACAAGGTTTGAATTGGCACTGTCATTCACCATGATTCTCCTAAATATGCTGACTTGTCTCGACTATTCTTAAAGTGTGGCATCCAGAAATAAATGCTGTGGTCCAGCTATGGACTAACAGATACCCTATAAAAGACACACATCACCTCTGTCATTCCAGTGAGAATACCTGTTAATATACTCACATCATCTAGCCCCTGTTTAATGCCATTTGTGATTTGATCCCAAGGGGAGGATTTATGATAAGCACCAATGTTGATAAATAAGGCACCTACACCCAGTCGGTGCAGGTCACCTCAGAGTATTATTTCCTCGACCCTCCCCATTTCCCGTCATCTACCTGCCAGTCTAATGAAATCATTCAAAGTCAAGGATCAAGGTCACTCCATCCACCAGGGCTGGCCCAGATAGTGTGATGGTGGAAAGCAGACTTCCAGCTGGAATCAACCTATCACTAAGCACAGACAATTATGAATTCTCCATACTGCAGATCAACTCCCAGTCTCCTTTTTTTTAGAAACTCCACCCCTTACCTTTGGGGGCCACCCCTCCCCCATTCTGACTCCACATGTTTTAGGGAACTCCTCTCTACCCTATGACCAAAAATAGGCACAGGGCACAGGGCTGGCCTCACAGCCTCCCCCAACCACAGCGATTAGTCTTTGGACTACATGTGAGCAGGGCCAATTCAATCCAAAGCAATATTGCAGAATTAGGGGGAGAAAGAACTCTTTCTATAGGCACTGGTGAGGGTAAGTTGTAAGCTAAAGCTTCCTCTGTATAGATAAAACTGCCCTGAAAGAAACCATGGCAGAGAAAAGTAGAGCAAAGGGAAGGAGGGAGACTGAGCTACAAAATTATCATTTGAGCCCCTGGATCCAGACTTTCCTGATGCCTACGCTACCTTTGAACTTACTGGTTTTGTTAGCTCCCAAATTCCCTTGTTGCCAAAATCATTTGGGGCTGGGTTTCCATCAATGAGTGCAGATCAAAATTCTGCTCACAGACATCCAGAAAGGTCATGTGACACCGTGTCAAAGCTCTCGCCAAAGCCTGCTACCTCACTGAAGTCCTAATCTACAACATGGTATTGTAGACAGACACTCCAGATCTTGAGTCCAATAACCCAGGTCCAACCTGACTGGCTCTGGGGCTTGGACAGATCACTGCAGGACCTCTGCCTCACCGTCCTCATCTGTACCTACTACGTGGGATTACCACTGAGAAAGAGTGAATGCGTGCAAAGTCCTTACAACCACACCTGGCCCGCAGAAATGCCTAAAACACAATCATCCTCATTGTTGTTGTTATTATTCTTACACTATTATTATCATTACCCATCCAGTTATACTGGCAAAGTCAATGTTTTCCTGTACTAGCCCTGGACCGGCACCGGGTGCTCTCAACCTTTTTTACAAGGCTCTTCCATTGTCCCTGGCACAATGCTTCCTTCAGTCTCTTCTAGGATCAATAGCAACTCACCTTCCTCCCTCTGATCTCTTTGCCAAAATGTACTCGTCCACTGCCATGTCATGATTTACCCCATTTAGCTGCTCAGATGGAAGCTCTTCTACTCCAGGGATCTATGGGACAGGGGAGTGACGGGGTGTGGTCCTGGGCCCTTTCCTGCTCTGCAGACATACGGTGCTACCTCGATCATGTGCAGCTGAGCAAACCTCAGAAAGTGCGGTGGACCTCCTAATTAAAAGGCAGCCCTGAGCTGTCAATAAAATTATGCATAAAGGAAATGTTTAAAAACACCATAGTGACATTCTCTCTCTCTAAAAATGAAAATCTTTGAAAAAAAGGGGGACGGGGGTTGAATGTCGACTCTTGATTTCGGCTCAGGTCACGGTCTCCGGGTTGTGGGGTCGAGCCCCACGTCGGGGTCCACGCTCAGCATGGAGCCTGCTTGTCCCTCTTCCTCCCCTTTTGCCCCTCCCTTCTCTCTCTCTCTCTCAAAATGAATCAATAAAATCTTCGAAGAAAATTAAAAACAGGAGTGACTTCCTTGAGACAGGTTTTCACTTGAGATGTTTTTGACTTCAATTGTGGGGGCAAATAAAAAGAGAGTGTCCTCCTCGACGCAGCCATTCCTTCTTCCCTCCCTGAAGCTCAGAAAACCATCTCTGATCTGTGAAACACTGCACTGCCTTTGAAACTGCTGGCTGGAAGAAGGGCGAGTCTCACCTTCTCTACCGATTTCTGCAAAGTGACAGGGACTGGTGTTTGATTTTATTTGTTTGGGGGAGGGCAGCTCTTCTGTTGCATCCCTCTCTTGGGCCAGTCAGTGTGACTGATCATCTTCCACACCGGGCCCGGCCTGACAGCTCCAACCACCGTCTCCCGCGGTGCCTGGGGCTCGCCTCGCCATCGCACGCGTGCCGCCTCCACGGCACGGTGCACGTCCAGGTCTGCTACCACCGCCTTCCCAGCACCGGGCTCGGCAGAGGCGCATGACAAGAGCGGTAGCAACGGTAACAACAAAATGTTCAACGTGTGAGTAATCGAACGACCGAAGAATGAAAGAAACATGTGGCTCCATGAACAGTGAAGGAATCCCTCCGGGGCCCAAACCTTTCGCCCCTTATTGACACGGGGATCGACGTGCAAGGCTGGGATCTGACATGTATGACCCCCCCGCCCCGCCACTGTATGCAGGCGCACCTCATTTTGCTTTTGTTTGCATTTTGTCCTCCTCACTACGGACTCCCTCCCACTACCTGTGTAAACCTGGCACGTCTCAGCCCGCGTCCGCACGCATGTGCCGCAACATCCTCCCATTCCACAGAGTGACAAGTTGGGATCAGATGACCCGAGGGGCTTCCGAGGACTCCGGGACAGCCAGTGTCCTTGTGCGTCCCTCCTCCCTCTCCCTGTGCGGAAGCCACCTTCTTACCTTCCAAGCTCCCGGCGAACAGGTAAAGCCAGGTGATGGCTGGGATGCAGAGAACGGTCAGCGAGGCAGCCAGGAATTTCCGTCTCCCTCTGCAGATTCCCAGCATCCTCTCAGAAGTGGCAACCCCTAATCCCAGCACCGCTTCTCTGCCCGGAGCATGGGGTCCTCGGCCTCCCTCATAATACTTTCTGAAAGGAAGAGCAAAGAGGAAGGGCTGAGTTCCCAGCGCTGTAAAAGGAGGCAGATTGCAGAGGGGGGGTATCCCGGAGATCCTGAAAGTATCTGGCTCCTCGACGACTTCCTGCTGACCTTCTAGCCCAAGACACAATGCTGCAGTCTTACATCTATCAAAACCGAGACAGCTCTTTAAAAAGTAAATAAAGGATGATGAAAACTATGACACTGCTCCCTCCTTCTTTCCCTTTCTCGCACACACGCACACGCGCGCACACACACACACACACGTGCATGCGCAAGTATTTTATAGTACAGATTAGTTTGAAGCCTGAACACACTTACTAAAAATGCATTTAGTTAGCGCCTTGTATGTACCAAGCACTAACCAGGTGCCCTGTTTTCAGAAATGCCAGGAATGCGGGTTAGTTTCAAAGAACACAGTCTAACAAGAGAGACCAACTTAAAACATCCACGGGCACTCCAAAACTGTGACGACTGAGAAGTGCATGCATGGACCTCTCTGCAAAGACCAAGGAAGTTGCTGACCGATCCCTGGGCGGTCAAAATGGCAGAACAGGTCCTGAGTTCGAGCCAGGGAGAGCCGTGGAAGGCGCCGGGGGCTGCCTGCTGGTGCACTCGGAGGAGAGGAGGCTGGGTTGGCCAATGTCATCTGCAGGGAACCACATCCCGATCACAGCTGATAACCTACACTCACCAGGGACTGTCTTAATAGCTTCCACCTTTAATATGGAAGATGTCCAGAAAAGCATGGAAACGATTAAAACGTGCAGAAGATGGAGAGGAACACAGATAACCTGTCACCAGCCTGCAGAGAGTCAATCCTGAGGCCAGGAAGACTTGCTGAGATGTGTTCAAAGCAGATGGAGAAGGTCAATGCACACGGAGTAGAGGCCCAGGATCCTTCACCTGGGGATCTGATCGGCAGGTCACGTGCCTTATAAAGGAATTTAAAAACCAACAGCCCTGCAATCTCATCTCCACCTATCTCCTCACATCGAGGTCACACTGACTGCAGGTGGAGCGAGGAGCCTCCCAAACAGAGCAGAACCTACCCCTGCAGGCAGCTACACAAGGCTTGTCATCCCCAAAGGAAATTGCTGGTTTGGGTGTCCCTTTGGGTATTCCCATAATATGTCCTTCCCTCTGCCATAACCCTTAAACCCCACGGGACTATGGCCTGGTTGAACCGTCTGCCCTCCCCACCAACCTTGGGGTTTCCGGGAGACAGACATCCTGTCCACTCACCTTGCATTCCCTAAGACCGGACATACCGTCTGTCACCTGTAGGCTGGCTGATAACTGTCAGCTGAACAAATAAATGGGATCAGATTCTAACCAATGGTGGCCCTTCCAAGTTTCAGGAGTCTGTGTTCAGCAAGTTGCTGGCAATAAACACCTAATGGAGCCAGTCTCAATTGTCAACGCCAGGTTTGTTTCTGCACCCAACTCTGACATGATTTTCTAAATGGCCCTCCTTTGAAACAGATGAATGATCCCAGGGCTGGAGGGTGTGGGCTAGCAAGGAAAACCAAACAAGCAAAATCGCTTTAAACAAGGCATGCTGATTGGAGGAAAGTCCCCCGTGGGAAGTGTTTCATTCTGAAGCATGGGCAACAGACCCTCCACACAAACTCTGTGTGTCACCAAGAATTGAGGATCGCCCTGCCACTGGCCAAATCTCGCAGGAAGAACAGGGGACAGAAGGCTATGCAGTTAGATCTGGATTCAAATCCAGTTCCACGTGTGACTAGCTGTGACATTGGCAAGCCCCCCGTCGCTGGGTAAGCTTCATTTTGTTCATCTCAAGCAATGCCCTCTCTGTCAGAGAGTCTTAAATGAGAGAGCCCTTGAATAAGTGCAGAGCAAAGGAACACGTGACAGGGCGAGCCCCACCTCTTCCCGAGAGCCGAACGAGGAGCAGTCCTCAGGCTTTTCCAGAAAACAGATCCCAACAAGTACGGCTGACACCACCAAATGGGTGATCTCAACCCGAACACCCTACTCGAATCTCCTTTAGGAGATACAACCACATTAAAATGGCCCTTTGTGGGTTGTTTTTTGTTTGTTTTCAGTTCACTTATAATAATAGTAGCAAAAGCAACTAGCAGTAATAACCTATGAGGTAGGAACCAGTTTCCATCCCCATTTAAGGGATGAGAAACTGAGGCCTAAAAAGACCAACTGGCCAAAGGTGATAGCTATGCCAACAACACGTCAGGCTCTCCTCTCCCTAAGGAACTGATTCTAACAACCTTTGCCAGGGGTCATTTTCCCTCTGATCTAACTTAAATCCTTCATATTGAATCTTAGGATTTTTCTTCCCAGAGTTCAGTATAACACCACTGTTTGCTCTCATTCAAAAAAAAAAAAAAGTTTAATAGAACAAAAACTGGAAAGCTCTTGGTGAATTTGGACTTCAGGGGAAGGCAAGAATATATATGGAGCTGAACTCAAGTGGTGTTAATATTTAAAAGCATTTTTAAAAAACTCTTTAAGACACTTATTTTCCTCTTTTCCTCACTCCATCTGCAAAAGTTAATTTCAACTGGCACAATTTGTCCAAAAGTTTTAAAACAGAGTCTAGGGTGGTTTGCATTTTATGATAACACTGGCATCTGAAATTAAACCCAGCAGGTAAAAAATATTCCTTCATGGATTTGACTTTTAAATGACACCTCTGTGCACTAAAAACACATTTTAAAGAAAAATCTCAATTTATATCAGAAGTTTCTCTAGGAAGTCAATACAGGAATCAACACAAGAAGGAAGGAAGGAAGAAACCGAAGGTGGGCTGGAAATTACCTCCCACATGTGCAAATGTTGATGGATTAACTGGAAAACCAGTCTGGAACCTGCTTTTGCCTGGTCAGAGGGAGACGGACTCCTGGGGCAAAGAGTCACCTTTAAAATGCCCCTGTCTCGAACTCAACACCCAATTCTTCTTGGCCAAGCTGGTCAATTTCTCCCACTAAACATCTACTACTCCATCTGTCTTCTCCCATCTGTCTTAACCAATGAAATTCACATTTATGCAAAACATTGCATGAGCGAGAAAAATTACTGTGATCTATTAAAGCCACAAAAGCAGCATTCACAGCTGAGAGTAAAATGTGATTACAACTATCCTTCAGTCCAACATAACACATTGTATACACATGTACAAATACCTATAAAACTATAAATATAAAAAAGATATAAAGGTTACAGGTTATCTCTGGGTATAGGATATGGATAATTTAAATATATATGAATATGTATTTTTCCCAAATTTTATACAAAAAATATGTGTGGCTTTTATAATTTAAAAGTTGAATCACCATGTCTTCTTACATTGCACGTGATTCAAAATACCTCAGCGCGAACAGTGAAGAATACATGAGTTAGTTTTACTTTACACGCGAGGTGCAGTGATTTAAGATCTGTAGGATCCTTGGGGAGCCTGGGTGGCTGCGTCTGCCTTCGGCTCAGGTCATGGTCCCAGGGTCCTGGGATCGAGCCCGGCATCAGGCTCCCTGCTCAGTGGGAAGCCTGCTTCCCCCTCTCCCTCTCCCCCTGCCTGTGTTCCCTCTCTCACTGTGTCTTTCTCTGTCAAATAAATAAAATCTTAAAAAAAAAAAAAATCTGTAGGATCCTCATTGGGAATATACCCTCCAGGGGTGGCTGGCTACCATCTGAAAGACTCTAGTCAGAAGCTCACATTCCAAATGCTGATCTGATCAACACTGGAGATTGTTTTTTTGTTTTTGTTTTTGTTTTTTTAAAGTAGGCTCCACAGCCAACATGGGGCTTGAACTCACAACCCTGAGATCAAGAGTTGCAAGCTCTACCAATTGAGCCAGCCAGGTGCCCCTGGAGGTTGTCTTTTAATTAGTATCATTAGAAATGAGTTTTCATGGGTGTTCAAGATGTATGAGTTGTCTAGAAATACTGCACATGAAGAGGGAATAAAAATCTAAGTAATCTCCAAAAGAAACAAACTAACAAATAAACAAAAAGTCTAAGGAACCCAATGGCCAAAATCCTTCAGATTCACTTAGGAGCCAAACTGATCCTATGGGCAGGCAACAGAGTTGGGTCACGGACTGTAACTTTAAGATCGGGTGAATCCTGTCAGTTCCATGTTGTCATCTGAGTCTCAAGGGAACCTTTCTTACAAGATGCAGTGCCAGTTCCTAAGAGGCCACAGGGCTGGCCCTCCCTGAGCTTTCAATACAGGTCCTACAGCAGATGGACCCTCCATAGATGTTAGCTTTGTTTTATCATTATTTGTACTACTGCACCCCTTGCCTTTACCCAAGCCTCTCCCACACAGCCCGACTGTCCAGCCATGCCTTTCCTCCTCTCCTGCACCTCCAGAGGAATTTCAAGCCCTTGCTGCCTCTGCAGAACATCTCCCAACAAGTCCAGACCTGGAGGTGCTCCCTCCCTTTGTTCTAAACTCCAAAGGCTGTCAGCAGCACATTCCTGATCACGTCACTGTCTTCTCATCATTTCCTAGCATTAATTTCTCTTGACTACACCAAAATTCCTTAAGGGCCAAGGATCCGGGTCCTCTCGTGTTTGTCTTCAGCCTCTGCCTGAGACGAGCAGCTAAGACCACAGTTTATACTTAGCCATCTCCATCCAAAGTGTGGTCCCTGAAACACCAGCAGCAGCAGCTCGTATCTTGCCAGAAATGCAGGCAGTCAGGTACCCCCCCAGCCCCACAGATCAAAATCTGCATTTTAACAAGCGCACATCACTGTTTCAGAGCTCTGTACTACTAAAGCATTGAGTAACTAACTGGTTATTGTCTCCCACCACTCCTACTCACCCCCTCCCTCACCTCACCCCTGCAGGGACTGGCCAGGGCACTAGGGAGAACCAGTACATCCTGGACTTTGTTGGTTATCTATTTTTTACAACGGTTCTCTGATAGATGGAAGGAGAGTTCCTAGAAGGAAAAGTGCCTCTTTCCAATTAAACAGAAGCACCTTATGGACTCGAGGTG